TCTCATGGAGCGAGATTGGAAGAAATTGGTGTATGTGGGATGACAGCATCCCTCCCTCCCTCTCCTTTCTCTCTCTTTCTTCTTTCTCTTCTCTCTCTCTCTCTCTCTCTCTCTCTCTCTCTCTCTCTCTCTCTCTCTCTCTCTCTCTCTCTCTCTCTCTCTCTCTCTCTCTCTCTCTCTCCTCTCTTTCTCACTCTCTCTCTCTGTGTCTTAAAACTGTTAGGTCTCCGTGACGAAGAAATCATTCACTGCGCTTCCACATTTAATGATAATGATAATAATGATATCGATAATAATAACAGATATTATCATTATGATTATGACTATTATTATATCATTAGATAACAATGATAATGACGATGATGATGATAATGGTGATTATTATGATGATTTTATAATATTGATGATGATGATGATAATGATGATGATTATGATGATGATAATGATAATTATAATGGCAAAAATAACAATACACGGGCCTTATAAAACCGGAGATTATTAATCAAAAGAGTCATATATGTGCATATATGTATATACATGTGTTTACATATGTCTAAATGTGTACCACACACACACACACACACACAAACACACACACACACAACACACACACACACACACACACACACACAACACCACACACACACACACACACACAACAATACATATATATATATATAATATATATTATAGCTATATATATATATATATATAATATATTATAATATAATATATATATATTATTATATATATATATAAATATATTTGACCACCATCAGTTGAATACGTGTCCGGACCTAAACCCGCAGAAATCGCCATTTTTTTAAACATTGCAGCCTGTACATTATGCAATATTGTTGGAATTCAATGCACAATGCACAAAGAATGTCTGCTGTAATGAAATCACGTCATGATCTGCATTAAACACCAGCTGTTATATTCCTGCAATAAATGAATATATTTGTTGCGTGCAAATGGGACGGGGTATTGTAACCGAACCCATAGTCTAGTCTAAATTTCTACACGATATAAAACAGTCTAGCCTAAATATCCCAGGGTATAATCTTGGAGGGGGCGAGGATAGGGTATATCTGGGCTCCTACACTAGACTTAGAAATAAACAGTTCACTATTGGCCTGTATTTCTTTCATGTCGGGATGCATCTACAGCTTTTCTTTATGCAAAGGCTTCAGAACTCCCAGAGGTATTTTCCGAACGAAAACTAATTATACACTCTCGGTCTTGTTGCTTCTCTCCCCTTATCCTCTTTCCCCTCCTTCCCTGTTCTCCTCATTCACTCTTACTTCGGAAACAAGAATTATATATAAAATTATATATATATTAGATATTTATATATATATATATATAATATATATATATATTAATATATATATGTGTGTGTGTGTGTGTGTGTGTGTGTGTGTGTGTGTGATATATTTATATATATGTATATATATATATTATATTATATATATATTATATATATAATATATATATATATATATATATATAATATCTGTAACTAATAAATGGGTCATTCATTCTATGGTCACTTGTAATTGTATACCAGGCTGTGGAGTGTACGATTCTTGATCCTAAGTTTACACAAGTGATTCATAGAAATAATACTGTATATGTATATGATACACACACATCCACACACAGCAACACGCACACCACAATACACACACACGCAAACACGCACACACACACACACACACACACACACACACACACACACACATATAATAAATATATAATATTATTATATATATATAATATATATTATATATATATAAAATATATATATATATAATATTTATNAACTCTATCTTCAATATGAGAGGGAGTAATAATATATACTTTACAGCTAATTTCCACAATTCGGATATACTCTTCTCGAGAATCAAGAGCGATAATCTTAATAGAGTTAGACACTATCACGTTTGTATTTACACCCATTCCAATCAGATCTAATATTGAGATACCATGGTAATATATGCTTATTTTAGTTATATTACTTTATTACTCGTATTTTTTTTATTTTATTTTAATTATTTAATAAAGGTTATTTTATAATTTATAAATGTTAATATTTGAATATTAAAATTAATAATTAGAATAATTTGTAAATATATGTATAATGATTAAATGGTTATTGAATGATCTCAGAAATGTATGTCAATATTTCTCACACCAAATTTGTTATAAACCAATCGATGATACGAATCGAACCTGAACGTGTTGGAGGCGAAAGTCAC